CAATTGGATCCCTCCACCCAGCCAAAGCCGACGATGAAGGTGAAGCAGAAGAAATTAGAGTATTGCGCGAGAAATATCGTAGCAGACGCTAGGGTTCGCCATAGCAGAGCGGAGACGACGACACATCCAGATATATATATATATATATATATTATTCAAAACCAGAAGACAAACAAAAGAAAAAAAAAAGTTAATTTTCCATGATTCATATATCTAATGGATTACAATATTACACCTGACCATCCCTACAGATTAATGACCCATCTTCCATAAACTTTGACATTGATCTACATTAAGAATTAAGAAAACCAAGCTAACAATAGTGTTGCCAAAACCACCCTTGAGAAGCTGACCCCCATTATCCTCCATTATGTTTAATTGATTGAAGACTGACAATTTAGAGGTTATGTTCTTGAGCACTATCCAGTTGGCACTACTAATATGCTTCACCTTAGAATCTACAATTGTGGAGAGAATGAGATATACAATTGTGGAGAGAAAGCCCTAATGAAATTTTTGGCAAGGGGTGAATTGGAATCTTCCATATGAGGTGATTGACATAGCTATATGGACATAGATTAATTTTGTGATGAATCAAGGTCCTTTGATGAGAGAGAATGATGCGAAGGAAAAAGTAATTTTGTCCGGGATTGTAAGTAGTGCTAGAAGAAAATAAGGGGGAGGAAGATCATGATGAGGAGAATTTGGGAGGATGGGATGGTCTAGATATGTTGAAAAATAGAGAAAGGAAGATGGATGTGGATTGACAAAGCAATGTGTTAATTGGCCTACAAATGTAAGAATTTAAGAATATTAGTGGTTTTCCTTAGTGTTGGTTTGTTTACTTCCGGGGTTTCCTTAAAGAGAGATGGATTAAATTTGTTGTTAGAGAACAAATTATTTTTTTAATTTAATAATGTTGATTGTTTTACTTTAATTCTAGAAGGATCTTTCTATTTGAATTTAATTTTTCATGCACATGATTCTAAAATCTAATAATTTTGATAATTAATTTTTTCTAGTTAATATTTTAATTTCTCAATTATTTACATTTTATTCATCATCCAATATAATCCAACAAGTTTTTTGTGTATTTTGTTGTAGGCCAAATGAATTTAAAGAAAGCCTTAAAATAAAATAAAAAAAGCTAGTGCTTTTATTCTTGGAAGTAATATAATTGGAAATGATACAATACATGAAATAAGTATGAAGATGTGTTATTTTCTTAAGCATAATTTAGAATGTTATTGAAAGCTAATAAACTTTAGAAAATATTCCTCATCCCACATCTACTTAATTAGATGATTGAAAGTATTTATTAAGAGGATTGGATGAAATATATTTGGTTTAAAAACATTAAATTTTTTTTTAATTTTAATAAAATAATCTATAGCTCTTAAACCAATGGAATGTTTATTTATTCAACTACGAATTAACATATTCGCTTATATTAGCTCAAATTAAGATTAAAGATCTCCCCAATTTGTATAGAAAAACTCTTTGACTATCATCAATAAAGACTCTAGCTAGCTGGTCGGCCACAACAACATTAAGGACATTTTTATTACTACTCAGTGCATCTTCTTAATTATTAGTGCTCCACACATGAGCATCTTCCAATTCTTGGATAAGAGACCACCACATTATAGGACTCTCAGTCTAGCAAGACTCGAGTTATGTAACATGTGATGGTCGAACAAGCTAGCTTGTGTTAGATAGAGATTTTAAAGGTAAATAGATAAATATTTACAAATTTTATAAATAAGAATCAAAATATTTTAAAATGTGTGGACATTATGTATTGCCTAGAGTCATTAAGTTAACATTTTCTGGAAAACTAATTAAAGTGACATGCGACAAGTATCAAATAAAGATAGCCAACTTATCATAGATAGGTTATGTCCTCCAAAAACTAAGTGACCATTCCAAAATAATTTGTGATGATTGGCCTCATGTATATCTAAATATATTAATATATAAAAATAGAGCTGTCACAATCAACTATCTCCCACAATATTCAGGTATTTAAAGAGATTACACATACTTCATGGATCATGTTAATTTATTTTTTAATAATATTAATTAAAAATAAATTAAATCTTTAGCTCTTATTTTATTTTTGATTTATCTTAATTATTAATCGAGTTTATTTAATATCACACCAAACCTTAATCAAGCTTCTCAACTAGCTTTAAACAAAGTTCTTTTGCTCATAAATGAATAGAGTAATAAGATATTCAAGCTTCATTGTATGAAAGTATTTGAATTTGTTCGATTACTTATTCAAATAATGCTAAGTATGTCCTAATTAAGCAAATTAAAACTGCTTGTTTTTTAAAATACTCAATACATCTACCTGTTTTGATTGTTTTTAAGGAAAACTAAAGATGTTATAACATACCAAGCACAATTAATTTCTAGTAAAAGAATAAATGAAATAAAATAAAATATAAATAAATTAAAAGTCCAAAACAACCCCTCTCTTTAAATTGTAACTTACATTATATTATTAAGAAAGACAAAAATTATTTATATATTAATGTTTAAAAATTCAAAGTTAAATTCAAATTTCTTCTAAGTTTTACAAAAATAAAGAAATAAAACTACTTTATAATTAATATTTATATTAATTGTAATTTGAACACAACAATTTGAACTTTTTTAAGATTAATAAATCAAGTTAAACATTAAAGTGATTATGCGGATCAATGAGACTAAATTTATTTTGTTATTCTAAGAAAATAAAATTGTTAAAATTTTGACAATACTTAAAACCCATCACTCTATGAACATAATGTGTTAAGATTGGCTGCTTAACTTGGTACATATTTAAAAATAAAATTTGCATACAAAAAATATAAAAAAAATTAAGACATTACCCTTAAAAAACTTGGTGTAGACTCACATAAGTATGTAAGTGTTTTCTTTAAAGTTAAAATACCATGCTAAAATATTTACTACTAAAAAAAGAGAGTACAATCTTCATAAAATGCCTTCATTTGCTTAG